ATTTTTTTGTTTGTAATGTTATTCTGCATCAGTTTTTCCACATCCGATCAACTGCCGCGAAAAAATGAAAAGGCACCACGCTCCATACAAATTTGGTCATTGTCATTTCATAATACCTACTGCGAATTTCTGTATCGAAGAACTCAACAAAACATTTGCCTGATCGGGGAAAACCTATTGAAGCGGTCGAACTTATTGTTAACCACACTATTCGAATATGTATTAATGAAAATGAAATTAATTCGTACTTTTGGTGTTTTAGGACATTATAATTATACATCTAAGTTCAGATGTTCAGCGAATTACCAAGCTGTCCTTATGATTAAGGGCAAATAACCATTATGGGCATTCTTGAGTTATTAAGTTCAGAGACACGAAGCCAGCGAACCGTTGAAGGTCAAATGCTCAAGTTACATTGCCATGCATAATAATTATAGGTATCTGGTCTGAACAAAGATTTGTATTGATATTGATATTTTATGCTACATAAATTGCACGTAGATTTTTTTTTATTATTGTCCTAGGTAATGAATTCATGAGGTTGAATGTAGTGTTCGGAAACGCCCGGAATACGTATTTACGTCAACGGTTTCTGGAATTAGTTTGTCAGCTTTTTATGACTATTGTTAGACTGAAAATTAACAATAAGTTAGGTACCTATAGTCAAGGTATAACCAGGTTGTTATTAGTTCCCACCAGGTAATTTGCAACTAAGTTGTCTGTATATTATGCCCGCAGAGGACTTAACACCTGACGGGGCTCCGGCTCGAAGAGCAGAAGTAGGAACGAAGTGGTTGTTGGTCAGTAAGATTTGACACTCCAGCTCGCCTCACCCAAGTCTCGGATGTCATTGGATGATTATTCCCCGTCAAAAAAAATGTTTATTATACCAGATGTCCATAAAATTCTTGTTTAATTTATAGCATCAATTAACTTTCGGCTTCTGTCCATCTATTAGGTATAACCCGTGCCCTAATAAATCTAGTTTATTATTCAGGCAATTCAATTTACTATTGCTATTACACTAGTCACTGCAATAATCTGCAAAGGTATTATGTTTATACAAAACCTACAAAATTATGTGAAGGCTACGGTAGTCGGTGACTCTAAGTAACAATCTAAGTAGAAATGGAGCCGGAGAGACTGTGGGATCCTTCACCAAGGTATTTGTGTTAACAGTAAATAAATAAATAGTCAACAAGCAAAACAACAACCATTAACATGTTAATTTTAATCAGGTGCTTCTAATGACTACTTAATTACAATTTCTAATGTGATTAAATGTAGGTAGGTAGATATCACATCAAGTAGGTACCTCTACGTAATAGAATTACCGGATACATCGTGTGGAGCGCCATGTTCCATTACTAACTTAGTTACAAACAGAAAACAGTTAAGGTGATAAATATCTCATGAGTAGGTTACTGGCCTACCTATTTACTGTACCTACCTATTTGATAGCCAAATGAAGATAGCAAGTATGAAGACCTACGAAATTAACAACATGAGTATAATTTTTAGTACGATACAGGTTGTTGTAAAACGCTTCTTTTTCAGGTGGTTTTAATAGACATTTCTTTTGAGTAAGTACATGCGTAGGTAGGTACCTACCTACCTACGCATGTACTTACCATACCATACCTTAGGTACTTACCATACCTACTGACACCTAGACAGCTTTATTAAAATTAGAATATTATTACACAATAGTATCTGTAACTATAAGTAGCGGCAAGTTGCCAAGCTAGCACACCCACTCTGTATCTATCTCTCTGTACCCACCATAGAAACAGCCACCCATTTTCTTGAATCGCCATTGAAATGACGCGTTCACCACGTGACGTCTTACGCCATACTTTGTTTTTGTTCATTCACCATGGTTAATTATTTATTATTATTATTAATGCTGCTAACAACTAGTCCTTTACAATGACTAATCATTGCGTTATATAATATCCATTTCCATTCATTAATTCGTACCTATTAACGTTGACGTTATTTACAGCTTTAGTCGAAAAAAGGCCGTATTTATGTATTACTGAAATGAGTATTTTTAATTACATATCTTAGTTGTATGAGCACTCTTTGTAAAATAAAGATGTTATTATTTGTTTAGTAATGTGGTTACCTAACGGTTGGTTGGTAGGTAGGTCCAGATATCTACTCATAGACACACAAAAGTAATCTACGTTGTCTAATAATTGATTTACTACTTCTGTGGGTAAATAAGTAGGTAGTTTAATATCAAAATAAAACCTCTCTACTCTGAGTAGTTACCTCTCTTTTACTTGAAATAAAGTGTTGAATTTGATAAATGCATTCATGTAATCCCATAAAAAAGTAGCTATATTTTTTTATGCATAAACTATTTACTTGTTACCGTTGTTGCTTACCTACACTTACCTCTTATCATGACGACTACTTATCAATTTCAGTTAGCTAATCGCATATCTATCTATTGTTTTGTCTTCAACATGCACACCGGCACATAGGCACCTACATAATCGCAATCGGTTTCACAACTGAACAGTAGGTAGGCATTTACCTATCTAGTCATAAATCAGGCACGTCAACAATTAGAATGCAGTGATCTGAAGTACGTACCTATGTGTTTAAGGGCTCTACAGCTTGGGTGAGCGTCAAGGTAAACCGGCACGGCTGCGCAGCGCCAGTAAGTCTGGTGTGGACAGCACCTACTCCCCCCCCCTCCGACCTCCTCGCCCGCACCCCGCAGCACCTACCTGTCATGCTGCCCACGCAACCGATCGGCCTACGCGCCTTTGCTATGTTCATAAGTGTCTACGCATGATGCATAATAATGAGTAATCGTGATTCGTGCGTAAAGGATGGTCTAATCAATGTTGACGGCGGTCGTTAGGTTCACTTTAATTTCAAAGCCCAACGTTGAGTGGTTTTAGAGAGAAAACGTAACTCTTTCGTAGGTAGTCCTATATAGATACTTACGTAGCGAAAACAAGTTTATTAAACGTATTTTCCGAACAACAAAGTCAAGCCACATTATGTTTAAGCCACTGTTTACCTGACATAAAGTAATCACGTTGTAAATTGGCCTTTCCCGCTATCTTACCAATACAAAAACAGCAGTCAGTAACTGAAATAGCAATTAAAGGACACAGCAAGTTGGCACGTCTTATCTGCGCCTTGAGGTCAGGGGGTGGGCATCTCATTATAATAATTATCGTGTGGATAGCGGACCCGCGATGAAGCAGGCTGCCGGCGAGCGAGTGACTCATCCCCGTGATCGTGATACCGCTCACGTTCGTCGCCACTCGCCACATCACTAGTAATCACTACCTACCTTACTGCTTCTCGCACAGACATGTTACATGCATAAAATAGACTCTTCGGTGGACCTGTTCTCCGTGTTATATAACTAACAGATTCTACGTGAAGTTTAAGATTCTGCCCGTTAACTTCCAACAAAGCAAACCAGCGATCATTGCAGATTACAAAAAATCCTGAGAATTGTTGAAAACTTAATTAAATTTAATGTCATGATTTTCATATAAGCATTTAATTAAAAGATAAGAAAATCAACGAAAGGTATACATTGAGCAACTTCTTTTATAAGAAATATGTATGTAAGATTGACTTTGTGGTTATTTTTCATTGTTTTTAGTAAGTGGCATACCTACCTAATACTTATAGTACCGTTTCTTAACATTCAGCGAACAATAAGATTTATATTGCATGTATCTAATTATTATTTTCATGTCATGCTACAGGTGCTGATGCACAGGACTATGGACATATTCCGCCGTTAAGTTATCGCCTGAACCCCGCACCAGATGGCCACAGGTTGTATAATGAAATCTACACAAAACTCCGGAAATGCCCAATCTTTGTTGTCATCGTTCTGTGAATACTTTCTGTCTGTATTAATTCAAATAGTTGCTGCTCAGTGAATTTATCGAAATATTCGGGGGAAATGATTGATTTATTTGTATAAATAAACAAGAATTACGTCCTACAGGTGCGGTGTATGTCCCACGTATTTCCAAAAGATCTGCGCGTTCGACCCGAAATCCAACTCGACGTATATATTCGACAATCACTGCGTAATGGACTTGTACAACTGCATGGAATCCAGTGGTTTGTTACTCAACCATATTATTAGCTATTCCATAATTTACTGCTTCTTACTGTTGCATTATCTAGGTATTCATTACGCTGAATTATGACTAAACTTCCCAATCAAAACAATTATTATAATGACATAGATGTATTTATTTTGATTGTAATTTCTTGGATATTTTGGTTTATCCTGTAATAATGTGGGTGTTAAATCCTTTCAATCATAAGAAAGTCATGTAAAAATATTTATTACAGCTTTTTTCCCAATGAAATACGAAAAATGTTTGTACTTCGGTAACTTCGCTTACGTTCACGGATACAAACACGAAGATATGGACTACGGCGAGGATCATCTTACAGTGTTACACTCAAAAAAGAACCCAGATTTTGTATAATAATTATAATTTTATTTCAATGATTTATGTAATAAAGAATTATAGAGAATTAAACCTAGTACTAAAGTACAGATGAAACTGAACCCATTATTATACTTATCATTATTTTGTGTGGAACATATGCGCAAGTATATCTATTTAAATATATTAACTATTGTATATTGAATATCCATGTTAGTAAGTCGTTATGATTATTTCATATTACTATTGTTTAGGAAACAGATAAAACATGTAAATATAATTATCGCTCGGAATATAAGTGGTACAATTAGTAGCCGATGCGAACCACCAGCTATTCATTGTTATCAAATATTTAAATAAGTGCCTAATTGTATAGATTGTTTGAAGTGAAGACATTGACATGCAGTTAACTCATAAGGAGAATGAAACAATAGTTCCTAGTGAAAATTGTTAAAAAATAATGTATTTAATCAACAGAACTGGGTAAAGTTTTAAAGGACTTTGAACAAATTTAAATCACCTTGATGAACACAGAACTTAAAAATACAAATTTTATTTGATTTAGCAAAATTGTGTCTACGAAATTAAGTTCCCTAATTAAAACATTTAGTTTAAGCCACTAGTTAGCTATTCACTTCTGAGATACTACTGTAAAAAATGATCAAAGATCGAAGTTTACCTACACACCAAGTCAAGTTAGCCAAACTATGCAGCACTTTAACTATTACTGTTCACGGTATTGATATAACAATGCTTAATAAATTAAAGTCCAGTTCTTCCAGTATTTAAATGTGCTATTGCACTACAAAGGCTGTCTTCACACCAACCTATTGGGTCCACGATGAGGTAGCGTAGACCGCGTCGGTCGGTGTGAGGCCAGTCTATGTGAGGAACATGGGCTATGTGACGCCCATGTGACCGAGCCTCTTGTAGTCGATCTTGTCAAGTTGGACGAGGGGTCGCAGTTGGTCTGCGAATGCGCGCATGTCCTCTGCTATCGCGTCTTGCCCTTGTGGCGCAAGCACCTGAATAAAAATAAACATTAGTCATTAGTATGTTGTTGAAAATAAACAAAATATTTAGAAAACTTGGTATTTACATTGAATGTCATTCATCAGTTTACTATTTTTTTTATGTAATAAGCCGTTAAACGACTAGACGCATCACCTGATGGTAATTACGATTGCTTGCTCCACCCATGGACACCCAAAACACCAAAACCTTTTTGGATGATTTTTAGGAGGGAATTTGAGGATTGTTGGGGATTCGGTGATTGGGGAACTTGGGGAGAGGGGTAACTTGTTTATCGGAATTGTGGATCCCGTAATCTCACTCACACGACGAAACACAACGTAACTGTTGTTCACGCCAGTTTTCTGTGAGGCAATGGTTTCACTCCCATTGAACCTTGAATTCTATTATATTCAAACTTTAATCTCAACAATGTTATGCCATCACACTTATTCTACTATTAGTTATCTGGGAATAAAAAGATCAGTTTACAGTATATTGGACTGACATAATTTTATGACAGTTACATGCAAATGGTGGCACACCAAGTGAGTGCCGAAATGATTGGCCTCAATGATAATAACTGTAGTAATAGTACTTCAATTAACTACCATCAATTTTTCTAAACTATTATAGTAAAATAAATATATGGAATCTAAACTCACTGATAATTCAACCAGATAACTTTGAGATATAGGCTCCGGGGGCATTGACCCTTGGGATATCTTGAAAACCTTTGCAACTGTTATCTTCATGCGACCTTTCCTGAACATGTAACCTGTAAAATAGAGATTAAAGCAATGAGATTTTATTTCATACAAAGATAGTGATGACACCTGATTATTCTGAGATGGGCCCATAAGCATTCTTTGTGAGAAACTAAGTGAAACTTATGAGATTAAGAATGAGCACTTTATTTGTAATATTATATATCTCACCACAGATATAGTTTTTCATAATAATATCCAATTATAGTAGAGTACAAAATAATACATAAATGACTTTTACCTTTAACACTATATTCAAATTCAATTCTGCATCCTAGTTCATTGAGGAAATCTATTAGCATTCCACTGCAAGCTATATCCAGGCTTGATCGGACCACTGTCGGCCTGTTTTTGTCTCCCAGATCCGGTTGTCCAATGTAGCGGAGTTGGAATGGCATGTCTCTGTAATCCAGGGCCTTTCTTACTCGCAACATTAATGGTGCAGCCTGAAAATATAAGCAAACATGAAATTATTCAAAGAATCGAGACTTTATCATCATTATCAGGTTTTTAGACAACTGATTTTATAAATAATGTTTGTCCTAGGCTAACATAAACTACTTTACATTCTTAGTTAGGTACCTATGTTTCATATATCATGTGTATGAGAGGCAGAGGCATAAATACGATACAAGTAGATACTCAGTCAGTGTGTTCCTCTTGTCATAATTTTGGCACCGTTCCAGACTCAATGCTACTACAAAACATCATTGTAAGAGTTGCCGTTGAAAACTCTTAGTAATATGTAAATGAATGTACCTGTTGGTTAGGGTCGCGCAAGCTAAAACAGACTTCCTGATCATCAAATGTTTCCGGACCAGCGTCAACATTATCACACAATCCTCGAAGACGATGAAGTAATACTTCTACAGCCGAATCCAGCACTGAGCCCTGGAAGCACAGTTAAAACAAGATTAAGTAGAGCCTCAGGTTTCCAAAACACATCAAATATTAAAAGTAATCTACCTGTAGTAAATATTCTTGATTGGGAATTATATTAGCCTTTAGCGCTTGTGACAAACTGTCGGTAGCTGTAATGGGAGCTGCATTAGCAGCTGACATTCCAGCCATTTCTTAATTTTTGTTCAATACAGTCTTGAAATTAATAAATTGCAATAACCACAACAAAACACGAACAAATAATTGTATTGATTTACGCTGGACATAAAAGTATTGCCAGACTGAAAAGATAATAGAGTGCATATCAGGTATTTTAATTATACATTTTATATATGTAGTAAGAATAACTAAAGAGAATTCAGTAGATTCCTGGATTTGTTTAGTAAGGTTTAGTTTATTTATCCGTTATTACTTATTTATTTGTGTGTATTTGTCGATGGCTTAACTTTTTTTTAAACTATCAGTCAGTATTAATTCTGTCAAGTGTCAATGTCACTCAAATAATAAGTGAGGTTATAATCAGCTTACGAGGACTTGTTGGTAGCGGTGAAGGTTACGCACGTGCTTTTGTCGTTCCTACGTTTTTTCTGTTAGTTTTAGTGTTTTTATCCATAGTGAACTGAATTGAAAACCTTTTAGTTCTGTGTTGTTGTGTTTTTAACTGTGTGTGTAATCTTTAATAAGGTATTGGTTGTCGTAAGTGAAGGTAACCACTTGTTC